TTTCCCCGCCACTTTTATCGATTGGCGGATTAACTGGTACTGATCAAGAAAACCTCAAATGATCCATCGTTTATACACAATCTTTTGCCTAATCCTTATTGATTGCCGGAGTAAATGATGTGTACTTCACTCTGTGTTAACCAGAACCGATCAGCAGGCCTGTCCCCGAAACACGGATGGTCTTTCAGCTACCGACTCATCTAACTAACGAGTCCGAGAGTGTAATATTCAATTTTTAACTGTAAGCGAAGCAAAACCAATTTACACAAACATTGACGCGACTGAAGGTCTGTTAATGAACACTTTGGATAAATATGATTTGCAAATGGAATGAGTTGAATTCGTAATACGAGTGTACATGTGGTTGTTTCTTCCCAACCTTAATCCACTGAAATTCTCCATTTTCCTTTCGAATCCACTTTCAACTTTCTTCTCCTACTCTTCATTCCAATGGGCAGCCAAAAGACAGCAACCAAAACCGGCGCACGGTGCATGGTTAATGGTTGTTCAAACTGAACTGAACTGAACTGTTTCATCTTCCAAAATTTTGAAACATTAGCACGTTATGTTTACGTTTTATTCAAATATACAAACACTCTTCTCTAGACCCTTGTTCGAAGTTCTGTCAACTATTGTAAGTAACCTGGTGATACCTTACAGGTGATTTTTCATCAGTTCGAGTGTTTTGTTTGCGCACAATTTATCCGACCTTGCAGGTCTGATTTCCTGAATTCTTGAAATTCTTCACTACCCAAATTCTCGAACCGTGCGCAACAAAGTGAGAAACCCAACCCGCTTAGCACTCGCTTGATTGGGACGCATATTTATGATTGTAGGCACATTGTTCGCAGAGTGAGAAAAGAGAAGATAGTTCCATAATTTTGTACTATTCTCCGGACAATATTTTCTTTAATGAAATCCAGTTAAACGCGAACCTGAGACCAACTATGATTTATGAAATGAATCTTGACCTCTGTTTGAAGTCTGGTGATTTGAACCGGACTTCGTTTGAGTTGGTTCACATGCTCATCTATGTGAGCCACGCGGTTCTCACCCAGCACCATGTACGCAGTTTTTCATAGGTCTGTTTCCTTTTGGCGAGAACCCCTGAGTGACCGTGAGTAGAAACATTCGGACTGCATTTCGTGCATGATCACTCCGTACAATGGTTGCCTGTTTACTCCTAGGTATTCACGATACACCTTTAGTAGTTACTTTTTGTTACCACAAAACACGAATCTTAAAAAAGGTTTCACAGATCATCACTTTTTCTTCATCGAACTACCTTAGCCTTTCGATTGTGAACCGGGTAAGTATCGCTCTGTATATAATCGGTACAGTAAGAAAAATGAATTGTCACCTGGATAAGTTTCCTGTAGATAGCAAGATGACGTTCTGAAGAGAGTATCCGGAGGCAGCTGTGATCATGGTGACAAACAAGGGTAGCAGAAGTGTTCTGATCAGAGTGAACTCGAACCTATACGCCGCGGAATACGACTCCTCTATCACCATAACACAACAAGCTTTGCTTCAATAACTAAAAAGCATTAAATTTATCTGTTTTCGGCTATATTTCAGATAGTAGTCGATAGGATTATACGGAAGTAACTTCGCCATCGGCCTCTAGTTAACAGAAACGCTGCCACCATCATAATTGCCTAAGTTTCTTCTCATTGGCTCCGTGAAAAAAGTGCCCGATTTGAAGTGGATAGATGGCACCTGGAAGAGACGCGGCCACAGGAAGGTGATTGAACCCGCAGAACTTATCCGTTGTCTGGAAACTCAGTGGAATAGTTTATCACGATCGCTAATGCTCTTGCGTTGAGGATGGAACATTACAGGGGAAACAAACAGCATCTAAAGAACTCGTGTGGCACCACACGACACCAACTGAAGTTCGACTTCTAAACACAGCACCCCATGTAATATTTGACAGATCACGAACAATCCACACTTCCCACGGTGAAAACCAGCAAGTCTCAGTCCCCAAGTTCATGGACCCTTAAATATCAATAATTTGCTCGAGAAATCTCTAAAATAGATATTGATCGAAAACAGGTTTGTAATAGGCCCTAACTGCCCAAACACCTTCCAGCGACATGGGTTTGCACAATGTAGCCATGGTCATTTCGCTGCATCGGTACACGTGTATACTGCAATCAAGGTGATTTTTATAATCAATGAGATAACTGCTAACGATATCGGTGAAGGAACCATTGCCCCACTCCGCCAAATCAAATTGTATTTACCGATTCAAGTGTGGGTGTTCGGCCATCTACATAGGCAGGATAGAGAAGCAGTTACACCACCGAATGGTCGAACACATCCCGGTGTGGCTTAAGAAAGCGATGGACGATAAGTTTGTAACCTTTACCTAATCGAATGATCAGAAAAGACAGCTCTTCGATAACACAGCACTTATTCAAATAGAAACAAGGTTTCGCTCCAACCGACGCACTTCATGTCATCTACAACACAACAAAGACCGTTACTGAAAGTTGCCGAGGATCTAGTCATTCATACCCTCGAAACCCGATCTATGCAAACAACGTGAACAGTTAGCCACATTCGCTTTGCCTTGGTGATTGAACCGCTACTCACTCTCTCGTTCCCTTTTTTGTGCTGTTGTGTCGTGTTGGCTGCTGTGATTATCGATCTTGTCTTCGTCTCACAGTTATTATCTCACTGACTATAACATACTACTGAACGCAGTATACACGCGTACAGATGCAGCGAAATGAACATTGAACTGATGCATCGCAGTTCTTCCAGAGGTTGAAACGGCGAATGCGGTTTCGATTCTTCACTATATCCTCTTCTTCCCTGAACAATACAACCACACTTCTACACTAATCAATTGGTTGAAATATACTAAAAGATGCGCTATCTTCAAACAGAACAATTGGTCAACAATTAAGATGACGTTATTTTGCAAAGTGCACATTTACCTTGACTTTAAGGACTGACAACGATATGAACTGCACCCCGTGGATTCAGGTGAAAAACATCAATCTAGATGACCGAGTGTGACATATGGTGACGTTTGCCCATCGCTAACTCCAATTCGTTAATACATTTCCCTCATGAACTCCCTCCACGCGCAAAACTGGAGTATACGTACTACCCTTATTAATTACCCGAAAGTACCTCTTTACATTTTACCAAGGTGGACAGTGGTCCTCTGAAATACTACCTATAATGGAATATGATTCAAGTCTAAATACACTTAGGACAAGTGATGTAGGTCACCAGAGGTCATGTGATGGCACAGCGGTTTAATCATTGTCCCTGGCGTGCTTTGAATCCAATGGTTCGACGTTCGAGCTCCACCACCACCACCACCACCACCACCACCACCACCACCACCCCACTTTGGTAGTAGACAGCTTCGCTGTCGTCCAGTTCAATACCGCACCTAACATAGTGCGGTCTTATGTGGTTCGCCACTCCGGGGTTGCCGGTTTCCACCATTGAACAACAGGCCCATCTGCTGTTCATCACATTAAGGTGTGTGATAACAAAACAACCCCAACAGTGCCGTTCAGCTTTACATGCCCATGCTATCTCTTGACAGTTACTTTCAAATTGTTTGTACAATCAGGTGTTCAACAGGAAACAAGAATATCACTCCGATCACAAGTATCACTGTCCTCACACGCAAATTTTAACTGAAATGCACAAAGGCGGACGCACTCAGGTGTATTTAGTCCGAAAATTCATTTCAGCTGTGCATAATGGAGCAAGTACTTCATTTGCACATCTAAAGAGGTATAAATGAATAACTCATACCCAAACTATGCCAGCTCGAACGACGAGAGATTGTAGATTGAATAACTACCGTATAAACAAATAAAGCAATGAAAAAGCGGTTGTACAATTCTAGGCTTTAGAGTTAGCTGTCAAACGTAAAATTGGAATTCTTATAATAGTAGATAGCTAATTTCAATCGATTAATTGCTTCCCACTCACCTTACCCTCCCGGGATGAACAGAACTCGAATGATTTCAGGCTCAATATTCTTTTTTGGTTTTTTAATTGAAGCTGAGAGCCCGTGGTTTCATGCCATGCGAACCTGCAAGATAGACAAGCAGGAGCGCTGGATAATGTGCGTAAAGTTGTTGAGTGGGGAGTGGTAAATAGGAGATTCGGGGAAGGGTGTGGGGTACGAGGAAGAGGGTCATGGGAATAGGAGTGCGGGTGGGGTAAGATAGGGAGATCAGCGAGAAATTCATTTTGCAACCATGGCCAAGGAGAATGTCAGAACAGTCGAGAAGACGTGAGAAGGGGGGAGGGTTAGGTAGAGTAGATTTGTTCGCACTTGTGTGTAGTTACAGTGATTCATAGATCAACAGGCAAACATCTCAGATGATATATACGGGTACTGTATCGTTTGTCTTCAGGGTGACCGGTTGGTGGACCGACGAACGATCATCTAAGTAAATATGAGAGACAGCCCAAGTTTCGATTCTAACGATGTTAATCTAATATAGTTGACCAAACTTGGAGATAGTTGCCCCGATGGTTAATGGGCTAACAGTCAATACTCGACAGATCACCGTAATAGTATGCGATACACAGCTGGAGGTTATTCCAGATGATGAAGAAACCATAATACAAAATGTTAACATCTAGATATCTGTCATTGTCTGGCAGAAAAAGAGGCCAAACCTTGAAAAGAATCAAAAAAGAAAAACAAGTAAAAAAACAAGCCGACAGAAACCACAAAGAGCGTACAAAAATCGCCAAAGCGCAAGGTCAAATCAAAATTTTTGATAGCAATCTATCTATACAGCGAATAGTGGAAAAAGAAAAAAAACTCAGGACGCATGAACAATGGTGGAAAACGCGGTGAACGGTAGTGTTAGAACGGATTGGGAAATCCAGGAAGAAAAAAAAACAAAAGAAATTTCATCTGACACATTGTTTCCAGTAAGCAGGCAACGGTTCTGAAGTGCATCTGAAGCCATAAAAACCGTTCAATCTTTGATAACACGTGTTTTCTGCACATTCGCTAACCACAAAAGTGACTGACGATGATCTTCTGGCAAATCTGTAGGTAAATGGGAGATCCTATCTTTTTCAGCATACGCACTCGATCCAGTATTGGCCCGTGATTTTCGAGACAGTAATAACAAACGGCTGCCCATTAAACCAGAAGTGGCTTCCGCCACGAGACGTGGGACTGAAGCGACAAAATTTGGAGCTCGACCGAAATCCACGCGTTCATTCACTCGAAGCATGCAACCATCTGCCAGGAGAGTGCGAACCACACGCAAGATATTGATTGCGTCATCCAAACCACGATGTTGCTGCCCAATAAACGACAGATTCAAATCGCATAACATTGTGCTTAATGTGACCCGGTGTTTTGAAGGTAGCTTGTAGAACGTTCGAAATGCTTTACTCAAATTGATCCACACTGTGGCCCAGGATGGTAACGGGATGTCATTTAAATGGCATTGAATACGCATGAATTTCCCCATATCTGCGCTACAATCACAAACAATTGCACATCGAAGATCGGATAGCTTATGTTTATTGAACAACCAGTTTTCAATTTTTTCCAAGACTTGCGGGAAAGGTTGTGCACTATCTACCTGTGCCTGACTGATTTGTGTGAGATTGGTACAAAATGCCGTCAGGTCTGGATGTACACGTGGTTTGCAATAGGCATGAAAAATACTCACACAGCGTCGTGTCCGGGTATTATATAATAAAACCGGGAATTCGATAATTTCGTGAGGATACTCCGGTATATTTTGCCGTCCTTCTTGAAAGTCACATGTCGCTTCCAAGTCGATGATGAGAAGATAATGGTAGAAAGTATCTGGTGTGAGAATAACCGGTTTCGGCAGCATGGTTATCTTTGGAGCACTGTTAGAGGCTTGAGCCTGTTGTTGATTTGTTGTGGCCGTTGGTGACGAAGGATCATCTGCATCGTCCGAATGTGCCGGCTTGTTCTGATCTGGTGATGCAGTAGTCGAATGAGCACCCGATCCANCAGTGCCCTGTTCAAGCGACGCTACAGCGGCCGCAGCCGCTGCAATCTTACTCAACCGGCGACCATCAGAAGATTGAAAATCACGCACGCGTCGTACAAACTCTTGCAGGCGTCGACGTAAAATAGTCGGTGAGCCCAGTTGATTTAATCCATGATCGTAAAGACAGGTACGCAGCGCCTCCAGATTCATTTGATGTATTCGATGATTACAGTGACTCAGTCTTTCGGTAACAAACACAGACCACATTTCCGTGACCATTATGATACCCGGAGGAGCGAACGCCAGTGATGAAGATGAATAAGGCAATGTAACACAATCGTTTAACACACGCACACTCGGGTCTAAAGGAAGTAGTCTGCCATCAGATCCTAGGACTGGTCCCAGATAAACATCATTCACAGACGTGCGAGCGAACAACTCTTCTAAATCGGCAAGCGGGATATCGGATACCGAAGACTGAATGAAACCCGACGGAGGTGCTGATGCATCCTCAGATCCGCTAAGCTTCCCAGAAGACATTGAGTTAATGAAATTAGCTTCAGCTAATTCGTTTCGAGGACCAGATAGATTATCCAATCCAGGATAATGAAAATCCAGTGTATAAAATGGACTGTGATCTGACGGATATAAGTTCTCGGTATTCCGATAACACAAATCGTTCTGGAGGAGATGGGATGCGGTCGAACCGCCGTTTGCGCTGCTCGATTGGGTCACAAAACGAGATGATACAGACGGGAAGAACTGTAAATTTGACGTTGTTGGACTTCCTTGGATGGCTGATGTGTTAGTTAGTGCAGCGCTGCTAGGGGTAGAACTGTTGGTATTGATTGCTTGAAGTCCGTTTGAACGTGAGCATAGCTCGGAATGAGTATACTTAGTCTCATCTGTTAAAAAACAAAGGTTCGCCTGATGCGAAGCGCCATTGCATGGTACTACCCCATAAGAAGTATACTGAGGTGGTGTACCGGAAATAGGACAATTAGATGCATTGGTTGCCGAACACAAGCGAACTAAGTGCAAGGTCTGAGGGCTGCGAACACCAGCTGGGTTATTAAGGAATGTGCAGGAGTTTTGGGTTGATGTAACTAAATCACATGAGGAGTAGGTTGTCGGCAAACCAGCGGAACGCGGATCGTACATGAAAGTCAAAAGTGGAGCTGTACACACGTTGGAATGAGAGCTAACGCCTTCAGATGGATCTCGAGGATTGCTGGAGAGAATGGGTGGGGATGGACAGGCCTCGTGATACGTGCGACTAGGGCGACTTGATAGTGGGCTTCCTGTAGTACTCGGAGGTGACAATGTTGAATAATCGGTGAAACTCGACGGCTTTTGTGATCTTAAAGTACAGGACGAATTGGGCATGTAGTAGACTGGAGTGGTAGGGACTCGGACCAGTGGACAGCAGTGTAATTCGACACCCTGGGTGCACCCAACAGAATTCGGGTAGTTGTGTGGTTGAAATGGATGGGCTGAACTAGTCGGTTGCACATGACTGACAAGCTGCGTTTGAACAAGGTTCTGATCCGAATGAGTATTGGAGAATTGAATAGGACTGTTGTTGGACGCCAGAACGCCAGAAGAATGGTCGGCGATAAGGTTGACCGGAAACGTTGGCTACATGAGAAAAAGACAGGATAATCTGAGTGCATGCATGAACCAGATAAATGATATAGCTAGGAAAAACAACACCGAACGGATCTGAGGGGGAAAATACTAGGAGCACATGGATGACACGGTTAGAAAAACACTCATTCAGGCGTGCATATGGTCAAAACCGAATGCATTAAGCAACAACAACAAGATAAAATGCGAAAACCGTTGCTAGTTTCGGCAGACTTGTTTCATGGAACGCTTTAGTTCACTATCCATGTTATTAAGAAAACTGCGATCAAGGTGTTTCTTCGGAAGGGAATGCATCACATCGCAGACAGGAAGATTGTTGAATGTAGTAAACTTAGTCTGCTACTTAAATCATTACACGAATCACATACGTTTTTGCAACCAAGTCGAATAGAACCTAATGTAAACAATGTTTATGTATCAACTTCAACTGACCATTCTTTTGACTTCATCTTCGCATACAATCCTCCGTTTATCCGCCTGCACTTCCAAGGCTCGAGCATGGTACGCAGGACTAGCGCACCTGTGACGACGATTTGACGTTTCACTGTAGTGCTGTAGTTAAATGTTAGACATGCTAAACGTGCCCTAACCGGTGAAGCCTACAGAGCCTAATTCGGTGTGGTAGAGAATTCTCCCTGAAACATTTCCAAAAACACGATTTACTAACCCACTCAATCCATAAAACGCAAGCATCGATTGTCGAAAACATTCAAGCGGTGAATGTCTTCTACCCACAAATAAAAGATTTAACAAACGTAAAGCAGAACTCGTTGTACTGCAGCACAGTACACGCGACTTTTCAAATTCAGTGTAACGTTATGTGTGGCCACGGGTGCTGTAGTCCTGCGGACGCTGCCCCAGCCTTGGAACTGCGTGCGGTTATCTTCTTTACTGCGCTTCCTTCGTTGGTCACGCAGTTACCCAAGAACGAGAAGCGGTCAACTTAAGCTGATTCATGATTATATAGTTTCCATGCATGGACAGCTGACACCCAGTCGTGCAGGATCACTTTGCGCTTTGAAGGTGTTAAGCGCATGCTGGACGGAGCAACATAATTTGTTAGTCTGTTGAGTGCACTTTGCACGTTCTCCGTACATTCGAACAGACAGATCTCATCTACTACTCTAGGTCGAGTAGCTCACCTCCAGTTGCCCATTCAATTTCTACGTTTTGGAGACCATTTATTGCGTCCTCCCTAATTTCGTCTACAACTAAATTGAACAGGCGAGAGAGAGTACCTTTGACGAACACCAGTGCTAGCCGCGAACGATCTACTCAGCTCCCCGTAGACCTTTACGCTAGCAGAAGTATGAGTAGAGTGAACTCAGTATGGTCAAATACTTCTGCGACATTCATTTGCGAAGGAGTGAACCCTTAGGGGATTCCCGGTCAACTGGGTTGTAGGTCAGTGGTATGTGACGCAGCTCACGGACCTGATGCAACGTAAAAATTTGGTTAACACATCCACGGTGAGGGTGGAATCCGGCTTGCTGTTCACGGATGTTGGTCTCTCTTAAAGGAGTCAGACGTCGAAGTGTGACGGAGGCTAACACTTTGGTGACAACTGGGATCAAATTTATCCCACGATGGCTTTCACAATTGTTGTGAGATCCCTTCGAGAAAATGGGAACGATCAGTGATTCGTCCCTAGATGAATGAATACGCTCTTACGTCCAAATGTTGTGCAATAAGGTACTAATAGGGATTACGAGGTTACCACTGCTAGTTAGAAAAGAGTGAGAAAGAGCTCAGCCTGTCCAGTTGCCTCTTATCGCTTCAGAGCCTGAATGTAAGAACGAACTTATACTCAAACTGGAGGATCGCACGGCACTGCCCACGGAGCTTCAGTTGTAGACGAAGTAATCTGACTAGCGTCAGACCAGCTGAATTCTTTGGTGAAATATTCCACTCGGTGATCAAGTCTTAATTCCCTATTGTGAACGGCTTGTTCCGTTTTATCACAAACTGTTTCACTCAGCTCAGTTCGGTTCTTACAACCATTAATCATGCACTTTCGTGAGCGGGTTTCGGTTTTTGTCTTTTGGTTGCCCATTTGGATAAAACAACAGAATGAGGACGAGAATGTTGACAGCAGATTCAAGCGGGAGATAGCACATTTTCATAGAGTGAAGTTACAAGAATAATGAGTAGATGCATGAGCGCCAGTCTCCTGGTCAGGGTTTTCATACCTTCATGCCAGGTCTTCGTTTGACCTCCCTCTATCTTTTTTCAACCGCTACCTGCCTCCGCAACCATCGCTCACCATGAAAACCTATTTGGTGACATGCCCAACACATGTCCTAAACAGCGTAATCTATGAAGGTCGATCACTTGCTCTAGTGGATGACCTCTTTTATCTAAAACTCTACGCCTAACCCCAGCATTGCTCATCCGGTTTCCCCACCAGTCTCGTGCAATGCTACGTAGACGGCGGTGTTCGAACACCAACAATCTATTTTTATCCTGTTCCCGTAATGGCCAAGTTTCTGCACGGTAAAGCAGCACTGGCCGAACTTCTGCAGCATATACTCGACCCTTCACAGACAGTCGGATGTCGCGACGGTGCCAAAGTTGTTTCAAATAGGCAAATGCCAACCAAGCCTTTTGTATGCGGGCCGACACTTCATCTGTGATGTGTCCGCCAGGTGAGATGTAGCTGCCCAGGTAGCAAAATTTCTCTACTTCCTCTACTATTTTCCCGGTCAGGGTGAGGTTGATGACTGGACCAACCCAATCTTGTAGTAGGATTTTACACGGTGCAAAACGCATACCGAACATGGCTAACCTAGCACTCAAACTATCCAGAAAAGCATGCAACTTACCTGGATCTTCACTCAGTAGCACAATGTCGTCTGCATACTCTAGGTCACACAGTCTGCCAGCCGGGAGTAAATCGATACCGCTATCCCCGCACGAGGACAGGACTGTTTCAAGAATTATATCTATCACGAAGTTAAATAAAAACGGAGAGAGAGGGCAACCCTGTCAAACACCACTTTCTGTAGTAAACTCGGATGAAAAAGTGCCGTAAGTTCGGACTCGGCTTCGGCTATTATTGTTAAGGGATTGAAACATTGAAATAGACTTCTCGGGCACATCCTTCGGGAAAGGCAGTGCCAGAGTTTAGAGCGGTCGACTGAGTCCAAAGCCGCTTTCAGATCGAGGAAAATGCCAGTGGTGGGTTTACGAAAGGAGTTTTTAACTTTTCCCCGATGCAGCTGCTACTTTAGTTTGCTAGATATTGCTGACCACCAGTTTTCACGGTCCTTCTTGATGCTCTTCGCGAGCTGACGTTGCAGATGTCAACTAACTCTGTTTTGATCGTGGCAGGTCGGGATTTGTCGTTTTTCTCCTACCCGCAATGGATTACCGTTTTACCACACCACCCTGCTGACTTGTGAGTCGAACTGTGGTTAGCCGAAGGCTTCGGTTGTGAACTGCATAAGAAAATTCACCTGCTTTGGCCTGGGCAACCTGGCAGTATCGCGCCCTCGAGAAAATCATGGAGCTTTGTTTCCTTTTAAAAAGATTATTGTACCGTGATTTGTTCGGCACACAGTCCGAGCTCAAAGGTCTGTGAAAATAACGTAATAAAAATCTTGTAACCCAGCCTATATCAATTCTCTATCTTTTCTTTGACTACTGCTAACATTTCAGTCTTGCTTCTGCTCTTTTATCTAAAGGAAAATGAATAACTGTTGATCTTAGCTCTGCACTAAATGACGTCTCCTGTGCCTATTTCACTCGACAAAAGCGAAACCCATTGCCACAGGACTGAGTTATA